CAGCCCGGACCGCAAGGTGGTCCCGCTGTCCCCGGCGCTGGACCGGCCAGCTCGCTTTCTGCGTCCAGCCCGGACTCCAGGCCGTCCTGGCCACAGCCTTCCAAAACGAAGTACCAGAAAAAGCACCGGACTTGCGGTGTGGGCCACCTCAGGTACGCTTGGATCTGAGTACCTCTCAGACTGCACTCAGAGCTGAAGTTCTTGCTCCTGGCTTGTGCCTCACTCCAGCTGTGGCCTGGTTACTGTGCTCTGAAATCCAGAGCTGCCCCCTCCTGATTCAGGAATGTTCAGACGTGCACCTGCTAAGCAGTCCTGTCAAGTAGCAAAACGATAGTGCTCCACTTGCCTGCACATATGGGGAACACATTCCTCCGCCACAGCGGCAGCATAACCAAGGAAAACTTTCCCACACGTTCACACGGTGGCAGGCCTTCCTACACCGGCAGTTTAGGGGCTCTCAGAGAGAGCACCAGCGCAGAATGAGCTTGAGAGGGGTTTACAGAGAGCCAAAGCACATGTTGACCTCATGAACAGGTCTCTCAGTACATGGAGTTGCAGATACCTTAGCGTGTCATAGATAAGGAAACTGAGGCCAGGCTAAGAAGTGAGTAATGATAAAACTGGACTTCAGACTATATGATGCTATTTACTATTCTTACTACCTCTTCCTCTGTTGTCTCACAGATGGGATGTACTGAGATAAAGAAAAAGTCTTATAATGGACATTAAAAGATTGTCCAGGGCTGGACTGGTAAACAGATCTTCTGGGGATGGCCTTCACTCTACCACCATGAAACATGGCTCCGCTGAGTTTCATCCGGACGGGGGTTGTGTCAGTCTGTAGTCACACAGAAGGTAAGAGGATGAGAGGGTGGCGAAGTACTATGAGTCATGAGACATAAAGGTCAGATGAGGAGTTTGGAAAATTTAAAAAAAAAAAAAAAAGAACTTAGAATCAGAAAACCTAAAGTTAAACTCTCGCAATGACCTTAAACATTCTTGCCAAAGATGGTGTTACTTGGTCAACTAAACAGGACATATGCCATAGCCGCAGACCTCCTGTTCAAAAGTGAGGACAGGGTGTATGAAAAGCAAAAAGAAGTTGTAGTCGTGTGTGGTGTCATAACTTGACTTGGGGTGGGATGTTTAACTTCAGTTTCTCAGTTCCTACATTTGTAAAATGGGAATTATCATTCGCTTATCATGTGAAGAGTGTGATGTTAAACTTTTAAAGTTCTATCGATTTGTGTGCTCTTTTTAGATGTTATTCTGTCAATTTCAGTTTCACAATTATAGCAACCACATCACATACTTTTGTTTTTCCCAAGTAAAGCTTTTTCTGCCTAAGAAGTTAGCATACTTCAAAGCCTGAAATAAATTCTGTAAACTAAAACCCACTTCTGCTCTAAGAGTTACTAAATCTTTTGAACTTCTCCTTTCGTTATAATTAACTCTTCTGCAATGAAAGGAATCCTACCTAGTGCCTATATCATGACTTTTTGATTTGGGTTGAGAAAATAATAATACCATTGTTTTCTCCAACTGCTGTTGCATTTTTAAAGTGACAATCAAATCCCTATATATTATAAATTGTTATTCAACTTATGTCAAATAAATGGAGAGAAAATACCACATTTGCACAAGTCAAAACAAATACTTTTAAACTACTTTGGAGGGTACAATAATGAAGGGCTTTACTCTGGTATTACTGAGGTACAATACTAAGAAACACAGATGGACATGAGATATATACATAATTTGGTAAAAATTATTGGAAAAAGAGGACTGGGGGTTTAGCTCAGTGGTTCTGCTGCCTGCCTAGTAAGCACAAGGTCAACAGTTTGATCCCAGGTACCCCCCGCAAAAAGAATCTAGTATACTCTCATCTTGATAGTACATTTTTTGAAACCAGTGATACAATTTTAGTAATACCCATTTAATTTAGAATTATCATGTATCTTAAATTACTTTTCTCTCATTGCTGAGGCAAAATAAATACCTGACACCCAAAATTAAAGGGGAAAGGTTTATTCAGCTCACAGTTGGCAGAGGTTTCCGTCCATAAACACCTGGCTCCAGGCCACAGTGGCACATGGAGGAGGGTCATCACAGAGGAGAGGAAGTTCACGGCGCCCACATAGTAGCAAAAGCAACAATTGACCTTAGCAGAGTCTTTCTGCCCCTTTCATCTTTTCAGACTATTAGGGCAAGTAGCATTCACACCCTTAATCCTGGTGCCTCAGGCCTAGCCGCACTAGGAATCAATCACACTCCAGATTCAGCCACCTCTGAAAAAGCATAGGCTTTGGGGGGACAGCTAGACACAAGCCATACACCATGACGCATAGAGAAGTGTACAAAAGGGAAACTTTCAAATTGGTATTAGATCTTCAAATTGGTATGTGATCTTCCTAAGATCACATTTCAGCAATATTTCCTACTTGACAATTGACAAAACATTTTTTATACCATATGGTGTATAAGTTATTACTATTTGAGGAATTATTTTAAATTTTTGTGCAGTTTTGTAAAATCCACTCTGGAGCCAGTAGTATAGATCACTGACATAGCACTTGTGTTGCATATGCAAAGCCCTGGGTTCCATCCTCAGCACCACAAGAAAGAAATATGTTCTAGCATTTGTGGATATGTTATTCTAACAATTTGCCTTTGATCAAGTGCCCTAGTGTGTTTCAGACATATTCTGTGACTAAATTTTCATCTGCAGCACACAATTCAATTAATGAGAAGTAAGGTAAGATGTCCTAATATGTTGGCGGATTTCTGCATTTCAAGTTATAGTTCCAACATTCTTTATATAGTTTGTAGCCATGATATAATATATAGAGAAATGTATTATATCTACTGGGTGAACTGAGTCATTTATCACTATGTTGTGAATTTCTTTTGCCATTGATGCTAAATCATTTTCTTCTGAATGGTATTTGCATGATGTCAGCTTATCTCTGTCCGTCCTTTTGTAATCATTACAAATTGTTATATTTTGGATCTACCCATTTCAATTTTTTTGTTTGTTTGTTTTGTTTGTTTGTTTTGTTTTTTGAGACATGGTCTCACTATGTAGTTGAGACTAACCTGGAACTCACTATGTAGCCCAGGCTGGTCTTGAACTCACAGCGATCCTCCTGCCTCATCCTCCTGGTGCTGCTATTACAGGTGTGCGCCTCCACACCCGGCCTACCCATTTCAATTTTAGATTTTACTCTACTTTGATTTTCTTTTTTTTTTTGTACCGGGGATTGAACTTGGGTCCTTGCACTTACAAGGCAGGCCACCGAACCACTGAGCTAAATCCCCAGCCCTCTACTTTGATTTTCTTTAGCTCTTAGATTGATCTGTTAAACCATTTGCATCTATTATAACTGCTGATTAATTTGAATTTATTTTTGCTACTTAATGTTGTTTCCCATTAGTTTCTCATAACTGTGTTTCTTCTTTCTCCTTTGTTTCTTATAATTTTTATACTTTTATTTCTGGCCACCCCTCTCCCCAGGAACCTTCTGATTTGGAATTTATGTGCTGTATTCATTTGGTAAATATCTTAAAAATTCTAACAGGCAATTTGCTTTGTTGTTGTTTGCTTATTTGGGTTTTAGGGCTTTTGATTTTGTTTAGAGACAGGGTCTCACTATGTCTTCCAGGTTGACCTTGATCTCACCAGGTAGCCCAAGCCGGCCTTGTACTCATGATGATCCTCCTGCCTCAACCTCTGGAGTGCGGGAACTCAAGGTACGTGCCACCATGTTCAGAGTTTAATAAGAAATTTTAACTGATTAAATCCAGAGTTCACCAATATACTTACCTTCTCCCAACAACACAAAGACCTTCAAAACTACAATACATTATGAATATTTTACATAGACGTTTCTTATTGAGCAACCGACTTCCATTCCTGCACCTAGGTCATTAAATAAATTGGTTGCTAAATGAAAATTTATATATACTATATATATTGTGACATTTAGAACAAAGAAATGCTCAACGGAAATCTCAACTTGATGATTTTTATTTGCATAACTCTTACATGCAGTGTGTAAGGTATAGCAGAACATAAAACTACAGTCCAATCAGCAAAGATTATAGTACTGTATAAACAAATTGTACTGTACAAAAAAAGAGACTGAATCTCTATGAACAAGATATATAGAACTATACAAAAAAAAATAGGTCTAATTCCCAGCGACAGATTATAAGTCCAAAAAGCAGACTTCAGTTTTAAGTCCGAACAGTCATTAAACAGGTAGATTGTTAAACAAGGAATATCTGTACAGTGTGCGTTTACATTTACCTAGAACATTGACATTTATCTTGCTCTTCCTTTCTTATTTTCACCTTATAACTTCCTAGGATATCTTTACTTTTGCCTAAAATATGTGCTATAGTTACTGACATATCCTCTCATTTTTTGTTTGAGTAGGAGTATATTTCACCCTCATTATTTAAAAATATTTTCACTGATACATTTCTTTTTCTTTCTATATGTATGTGTTTGACTGAAGAGTGAGTCCAGGGTTTTTGGTTGAGCTGGGATAATAGGCATGCACCACTAAGCCTGGTTCACTGATATATTTCTTGGTTGTTTTTTGTTTTTTTGTTGTTTTTTGTTTTTTTGTTGTTTTTTTTTTTTTTTTCTTTTCTCTTTTGGAAACAGGGTCTCACTATGTAGTTGAGACTGACCTGGAACTATGTAGCCCAGGCTGGTCTCGAACTCACAGTGATCCTCCTGCCTCAGCCTCCCAAGTGCTAGGATTACAGGCATGCGCCACCACACCTGGCTCACCGATATATTTCTAAACTTACAATTTTTCCTCCTGCATATTTTCAGTATCGTTACACTGTCTTCCAGCTTCCGTAGTTAAAATTTCAACTTTGAAAGTAATCTTGAAATGTAATCCATCTTTCCTCTCTATCTGTATTTAAGGTTTTTCTTTTTTAGTTAATTTTATTGGACCATTTAAGGTACACAATATAATGACATTCATCATTGGAAATTTGAACCTTTACATAATCAATCTTGGTTCTTATTTTTTCCCCATTCCCCTGCTCTCCCTTAAACCCCTCCACCCCTCTGTATCCACAAAGACTTTGTTTCCATTTTTTCTTTTTCTCATATTAATTCCATTCCTTTCTTTCTTTTCCCCTGCCCCTCCTACTTCCCCTCCTTCTTTGCTCCTTTTCTTCCTATTTCACATTATCTCTTATGCCTTAGAAACTATTCAGTATTTATTATTTATTTCACTTAAGAGTATGACCTCAATGTGCATCCATTTAAGGTTTTTCTTTCTGTCTTTAGTTTTGTATGGTTCCACTATGAAGAATGTAGGTGTAGATTTTCTTTTCATCCTTCTTGATTTCCTTTGTTTTCTTGACTCTAGGTTGGTGATTTCATCAGTTCTCAAACACTTTGCTCTCCTTTCTTTTCTGTTCTTTCTGGGACTGTGATTGTGTACATATTTTCATCCCCCTTTCCGTGTCTCTTAACATATTTTCATAGTCCATACATTCTCTCTGTCTCCCCCTACATTTTGGAAATCCTTGGTTATCTTCCTGTTCTCTGATTCTTTACATTTGTCTCTGCTAATGTTATCCTTTTAGTTTCTACTGTATATTAATCATAAATTATGTTTGGTTGGTTTTTAAAATTTGCTTTCCTTCATCTCATATTTTATGCCTTTCCTGAATGTCTTTAAATGTACTGACCACACATATTTTGAATTCTACTTCTGAAAATTGTAACATCTGTAGTATTTGTGGGACAGTTGCTTTATCTGAATTTTTTTTCATGCTAGCTCTTACTTACAGTTCCTTATTTTAGTCTACATGTGGTGATTTCTTTTTATATTATCTGATCCTTAGAGCTGTATTATGTGAAAATTTAGTAAGGTCTGAAAAGAGTTCTCTGGAGGGAATATACATTTACTTCTTAGATTTAAAAATTTGGAGATGGGCCAGAGATTTAGCTCAGTGGTTCTACTGCCTGCCTTCCAAGCACAAGGACCCTGGTTTGATCCCCAATACCAAAAAAAAAAAAGGGCGGGGACTAACCATATGAGATCTGGCTTGTAGCTATGAACAGTCCTGGAGCCTGAAAAAGGTTCGTTTTCGGTATGTGGGGCTGCCAGTTTGTCTTACGTCCCTTTGGGGTGTCTGCTTTATGAGGAGGATCCTACTTGAATTCCTACATTGGGAAGGGCCCTGAGCCTCCTAAGACCATGAGGCAGATACTCAAGCCAATCTAGTTTATCACATGTTACTGAGATGGGAGGTGGCTCTTCGGATGACTTTGACCTGCACTGCTTCCCCAAGCACCTCTCCTTGATCGCCTGCTCTTGAATGCCTCTAAAACACACATTAGAGATGCCGTTGTAGCTTGGCGACAGAGCATGTGCTTAACGTGTTAAGATCCAAACATTTAAATACATATATTTATATTTTTTTTCCAGTTTAATTCTGAATTGGTAGTGGATTTTGTTGGAAGTTTTGACTAAATAATCATGATTTCATAGCAATATGTAATAGTTTATGTGACTATAGTATCATGTAAAATGAACTAATAGCAACATTTTACCTAATAATTTCCATCTTCCTCAAGCCATACCCAAATAGTCCTTATGTGTTAAGAGTGTGGAAAAATCCTTAAATATCCTCATATATTAAGAGTGTGGAAAAATCCAAGTTAAGGGCTTTCAGTGAACCAAATGCCTGGTTTCTCAATGCATGGTTTTAACCACAAAGCTGACCTCTGGTTTCCCAAACTTTAGCTGCTTATCCACATAGAAATTTTCCTTAGACAGAAGTCAGGTGTTATTGATACCTGAGTGCCTCCTTGATATCTCCTTTCCCTTTTGGAATGTCAAAAGAAAAATATCATTTTAAAATCTAGAAAGGCAATTTTAAATAATGTCATTAATATTGTTGCAGGTTCAATATAATCAGTAGAAATGTGGGCTGTGAACCTTAACAATTTATATCAACATTTTGAGTTTCACATGATTAAAAATAAGCTTTAAAATGCAGCTGATTCATCCTCTATATTCAGCATGTATCCAAGTCAAAACCTCCCTAGAATCTAACTCTACATGACTCTCCATAATTCTACTTGGGTTAGATTTATTACTAGCATCATAATCTTCATTTATAATGGAAGAAAATTTATTTATATAAAAAAGTACTTAGCAAGTTGCCTTCTTTAAGGAAACTGTTTTAAAAATATTCTATCAGGACCTGACTTTTAAAACAATTGAGAGAGCTAGGGGTTTAGCTCAGGTGTTCCGGTGCCTGCGTTGCAAGAACAACAACCCGAGTTCAAGCCCTGGTACAAAAATAAATAAATAAATGAATGAATAAATAAATAAATAAAACAAACAAGTGAGATAATATTGTTAAGGAAAACATTCAACATGTGTTTTTTTTTTTATATACTTAGCGGCAGTGTACGATAATGTGAAGATGAAATCTTCAATAAGATACATGAAGTAATTCTAAAACAGCAGGTAGAGGAGAGGATTCAGGAGCAACATATTCTGAGTTGCTTTCACACCTCATAGTTAGCATTATAAGTTGATTTAAAATTGAACTCCAGTTAAATTTGTCATGTAATTTGTAGACAAAATGGCTTTAGTAACAAATATGCACATCTCCAAATCATCTTAAAATTCAGTTGGCAAATTTATATTTGTTTCTTTTGCTGTTAATTTTTTTTAGTGAAAAGATAAACTTCTCAAAAATAATATAGCATATGCCTGTAATTTCCAGCTACTTGAAAGACTAAGGCAGGAGGATCTCTGAAGGCTGGCCTGGGCAACTTGGTAAAATCCTGTCTCAAATATAAAGTAATACAAAGGGCTGAGATATAGTTCAGTGTGAAGGCCATGAGTTCAATCCCAAGGACTGGGGTGGGGGGCAGGGAGGAAAAGGGAAAGGAAGGGAAGGGAAGGGAAGGAAAGGTGAAGGGGAAAATAAAAAATTTCCTTTCCCTCCTTTTCAAGGTGATTTGCCCAATGTCACAAAATAAATTCTCTTGGACTGGGGATATAGTTTAGTGGCACAGCTCCTGCCTTGCAAGCTCGAGGTCCTGAGTTCAATCCCTGGTACCAAAAAAAATAATAATAATAAAATAAATGATCTTACCTCTGACTAGCCTCTTCTAGTTCACCCTTATCTTCCTTTCTTGATCTGCCAGACATTGGAAAATTTAAAGCAATCCTTGGAACTAGGAATAAAGAATACTCAGAGCAGAGTATGACCGGCAGATTATAATCAAGGGAGTCAAATTGTATTCGGAGACTCTCTGAGAAGACTTATCTGGACTTCGAGAAACACTGTGATGTTTGTGTAACCCTGTGGCACACCTGTGGAAAGAGTATCCTAACTCCACCCACCAGATACTCCACATAAATTGTAACATCGTCATTATGTGACAGCTCTGCTCACACCCATTTAATATTCTTAGGTGAATGAGTAATCACATACCAAGAGCAATGTTCCTAGAATTTAATGGAAGGAAACATAAGAGAGCATCAAATGTAATGTCAATAGTCCAACAAAACCCAGTAATCCTGATAGCAAGGGTAGAGAGTGCAACATTCCAGCAAGTGGAATTCAGTCAAATACTCAGGCAAATTCCACAGCAGGTGATACTTTGAATAATAAAAAAAAGATTCAAGCTTCCAAAATATTTGTTAGTTCCTCTCCATCTCTTACAGCTGAAAATAAGACAAGGAAAAAACCAACAAAAACAGAGTTTCCTGGGCTTCAAAAGTATGGACATGACCTTTTCATTTTGTTGTTGTTTCTGATGTCACATACCCAAAACCTAGGCGTGTATCTAATAAAATAGTTTCCTCATTCAATCTTTGAGAAAGAAGGAGCAGAGAAACAGCAGCTCCGTGAAACTCATCAAATTCTTACTTCGGGGGGAATGGATTGCTTCTGTTAAAAGAAGGACTGCCTCGCCCCCTTGTTCTCATTCCGTGCGCACAAGTCAAGTAGTCTCCTGACATCCTCTTGACACTGTCAACCAGGACAGCTGGGCTTGGGTGGACTGCAAGGAGGCTTTTGGAGCTATGATTCAGCATGAAAGACTGCATGTGACTTAAAAGAATTGCTACATCAGTGGGGACTGACTGCTTTTTCTGCTTGCAACACAGCTGTTTCCTTGGTCTTCTTTACTTCCCTCATGGATAGAGTTGAGGATCAGGAACACACAGCACAGTGCATGCACTATGCGTGGTAATTATGCTGTGTTCTCACTGTGGTCGCTACAAAAACTACCAAATAGGGTGCTGCTAATTCCTATTCTGTGATGATGTATGTGAGGAAAGCCATTGATTATCATGTGACCCACTTATTTACCTTTATGATTTAAATACAGATATGTTGCGCTTCTTCTTTAAATAAGCAGGTATAAAATCTTAAGTAATATATACATGGGTATATGAAGATAGGCCTAATATTAGAACTAGAAGAAGGCTTTACATCTAGTAGCCTATAATTGAGTTAGAAACAAAGCACTCTAGCAAACCATCTAGTAAAATTCCTCTCCATATGTGAAGGAAGAAAACATAGACCTTTTTTCCTTAACATTTGTGTCACTGGCTCGTATCATTCACAAGGACTTGACGTCCATATGAAAAAGACAAGACTTACAACACTGGCATTTTACAGTTGTTGTGATTTTTCCAAGTGCTTTATGATCATTTTTTTATTTGCTGGGTCACTCTATAGTTCTGTGGGGCAGAGAGTAGTAGATAAAACAGGTAGTACAAATGAAACCAGAAGGTGATTCTCCATGGAAATTCTGTCTCCAAGAATGCCTGTATGGAAGAAGTACTTTCCTACTTTTGCCAGAGGCACCAGGAAATAGAAGTCATCTTGTATAATTCTCCTGAGCCATTTTAAAAAGCCATTTTCTTCATGAAGCTTAGATGTATCTGTTCCCTCTCCCTTTCTCTCTTTCAAAGCAAAGTAAGCAAAGCTGACGTGAGTAGATACTTCACCTCAGAACAGTTTGTTATCATAGATTTCCCTCACTGATATTTTCAATGCAGATTACAGCACTGAATAGTACATGAGGTGTGGTTTTAAAAATGCAGGGAATATTTAAATTTCTTTAAAAAGTATTACAGTAAAATACACAATGCCATTATTCCCCCTCCAATAAAGTACTCCCCCTCAATTTAAACTTACTGATCCCACTGACCTTGCCACCTTCTGAAGCGCTTCTAGAAGTCTCTTCTATGAGCATCTCCATTTGTGCTGTTGTGGCTGCCTTGATGTCCTGAATCAACTCAGAACATTTATCTTTCATGGTCATTTTGACTATGGGGAGGAGCCAGTGGTTTCACAGTGTCAGATCTGGTGAATAAAGTGGATAAAGACGCACTGTAATGTTTTCATGAACCTGCCTTTCTGTTGGGTGGTGCACCAGCAACATTCAGTGTATATTTTTACCATACCCCATTAAAAAATACCCATCAAAGAAGACTTCCAGAACTGCCCCAGAAAGTGATAAGAACAATGACATAAGTGTGTTCAGGGGAGCAGGTATTTCTGTAGGGAGTAATAGCACGGTGTCTTTCACTGTAATAAAATGTTTTAATGTAAGCATTCAGTGTGTATTTTGATCACCCCATGTAGCCATACTTTTCTTTAAGAGTTTTCTGTGCAAGTTGAAAAAGAACAAAATCGTCTTTATAGGAAACTAGAGGAGATATTGGATAATACTATAGATAATGAAAACTAATGTTAAAATAAACTTTTTTTTTCTTTTTACTACTGGGGATTGAACTCAGGGCCTTTTCACTGAGCTACGTCCACTGCCCTTTTTACTTTTTATTTTGAGACAGCATCTTCTTAAATTACTAACTTGCCTAGGCTGTCCTTGAACTTGCAATCCCCCTGCCTCAGCCTTCCAGAGCCCTGGGATTAGACATGGGCCACCATGCTTGGTTTGAAAAAAAAAATTCTTAAAGTAATTAATCTGTAGAAAAAACATGTCCAGGCATGGTGTTGTGTACCAGTTACCTGGGAGCCTAAGATATGAGAATCACAAGTCCAAAGCTTGCCTGAGCTGTTTAAAAAGACCCGGTCTCAAAATGAAGATAAGAAGACTGGGTGTGGTGGTGCAAGCCTGTAACCCCAGTACTGGGGAGGCTGAGGCAGGAGGATTGCTGTGAGTTCGGGACCAGGCTGAGCTACATAGTGAGTTCCAGGCCAGATTTAACTACATAGTGAGACCCTGTCCCCCCCCCCAAAAAAAAAAGAAAAAAAGAAAAGAAGATACATAAAGGGTTGGAGATGTAGTTCAGTGGTAGTGTTTGCTTCAGAAGTCCAAGCTCCTGAGTTGACTCTCCACTACACCTCCCCCTAGAAAACAAATAAAAACTCTCGTATTTTAAGGAAAAAGCTTTGTCTAGAAACTGAATTTCCTGATTCTCTAAGATGAAAACTGAAGTAAAATTCTCTATTGATTTTCATAAAAGTTGAAAATAAACCTAATTCTGTGTCATTTTATTTTTATCTTATGCATTTGTTTTTATTTTTTTGACCTTATTGAGTTTATTGGTACTTTTTAAGTATGCAGTACAGTTACATTCATCATTGAGATCTTGTACCTTTACATGACAGGTCTTGGTTCTCAATTTTCCCCATACCCCTGCCCTCCCTTCACCCACTGCACCCTCCTCTATTTACAAAGACTTTGTTTCCCTTTTTTTTTCCCTTTCTCATATTTTTTCTTATCTTATGCATTTGTGATATGCTTTTTTAATGCTTTCCCTAAAATTACACACTGGAAAATTTATACATTAGGGGATTTTTGTTCACTTATGGTCTGCATAGTCAAGATGTATAGTACTGGGTTGTGATTTAGCTCAGTGGTTCCACCGCCTGCCTCACAAGCACAAGGTCCCCAGTTCAAACCTCAGTACCAGGAAAAAAAAAAATAAGAAGAACATGTATAGTACTGGTAAAGGATGTTAGGAGCAGCTAGCTAGCAGTGTGGATTTGAATTGGCAGTTCTTTTCTGATGACTGAAGTGAGTTGCTCCACCCACAAACTAGTGTTCAAGATTTATCTTTTATTATTTGTCCATAGCGCCTTCCACTTCTTCTCCACATTCCTCTTCTGGTTCTCCTCTTTGCTGTGCACGTGCCCAGCTCCTGTCCGGTTCTTGCCCTCCTCCTCAGAGGAGCAAAACCCCCAAAGATGCTATGCTTTGTGTTGTCAGCTCTCTTTTCCTGCGTGACCTTATCTCTCCTAGAGGAATCTGTCTTGGCTCCTGCCTCAGCCCACTTTCTGTTGCTATAACTGAATACCATAGATTGTGCAATTTATAAAGAATGGTGGTTTGTTTAGCGCATAGTTCAAGAGGCTGAGAAGTGCAAGACCCCAGCACTAGCATCACAGAGGCTCTCCCTGCTGCATGGTAACATGGTGAAGGGTATCACATAGCAAGACAGAGCAAGTCTGTGTCTCCTCCTCTCCTTATAAAGTCACTAATGTCATCATGAGGGCCCTGCCCCGTGACCTTATCCAACCCTAAGGCTGCATCTCCAAATACATCTACATCCTGCTTTAGGGATTAAGTATGTAACCCATGAATTATGGAAGACATATTCAAACTATAACAGTTCCCAAAGTTAGTTGGAGCACTTGACACATTCTCTAGCTAGTGGTGAAGGTTAGCTCTACTCTTTGGTAAAGTTTCCCTTCCTTTCATAAGCTAATGCCATTTTTTTTTTTCAATAGAGACACAGTTCCTGCCCTCATGGAGCTCAAAGTGTCATTAATAAAATGAGCAATAAACATGTCAACAGACAAATAATAAAATTTCTGATAGAAATGAGTGGTAAGAAAAATATAAACAATAATGAGAGACAGAGAGAGATGAGTGGAAGGGCATTTTAGCTAGGACAGGCAAGGCTCATGTCCCAGAGGTGAAGCAATCTGAACTGCCCCTGGGTTGATGCAAACACAGCAGCTGTGTACTGGGGATGAGGCTTGCAGGAAAAGAGAATAGGTGACGCAACATCCTGGGGGCCTAGAACGAGGTGATCGGTACGAGTAGAAGGAGGTAACAGCAGAGAGGGGCAGTGGCAAGACTGTAAAGTGTTCTTGCAAGGCGTGGTAAAGAGGGTATTCTATTCCACTTTTTCTGCAAAGCTACTAAGGAAAATAAGTGTAGGAGCAAGTTAGGGAGTTAAGAAAGATATTTATGAGTATTCTATTACCCAAACAAACAAAGATAATATTCAGTATTATAGATGCAGTACAAATGAAGATGTCAGAATATAAATAGGAAGATTTCCTGTGGATAAGAGGCCCCCACTAGCTTCCTGACTGTTTGATAAGGGACAGAGATAAAGACAAATGTGTGTATGGAATGAATGAGAAAGGCGCAAAAAGCTCTGCTTTTAAACACTGTAAGGCGGAGGTGCCTATTTCACACCCAAATGAAGATGTGGCCTAGGCTCAAGGAGAGAAATCTATATCATTTCCATCCTGTGAGTCTTAAAGTCGAGGCACGGCAGGCAGGTAGGCCTGCTTTCAGCCCGCTGGTACACTGGGAACCCATTGACTGGGACAGCTTTTCAGACTCAGGTTATAAAGTCTGAACACTTCACCATCATCCCTGGGCCTTTAGAAATGATCCACTGCCCCCAGAGAGCTTATGCAAAAGTAAAAGATAGAATCTTATGGTTTGGGTAACAGGCAGCCTAATACAACAAACACAGAATCATGCATAAATTTGATGAGATAAAGTGGAAAGTGGGGCCCTTACATTCACAGTGAATGCATTAAGATGTTCTTTGATTGCATTTTGTGAGGCTGATTTAAGGACACTGTTGGGAAAACTTGGCAGCTTAATGAGGCCAAGAAAGATCTATAGAATCACTGAAATAGTTTGAAAGGGTGCCCCAATATAGCTTTAATCAGACCTTCGGCCTTGTGAAAATAAGGGTGGAAGTCTTGCCGCTGTAATTAGTGCTACTGGTTACAAACAGTTCCTACAGAAACCCAGAGTAGATTAGATCGGCGTTCTTTGCTGCACTTTGCCTTCAGCTGTCCAGTCAGACTCAGGAATGTGCTAATCAGTACAGTAGGACAGAAACTTCTTGGGCTGAGAGCTTCCATTTAGTTCATTTGGCAATCATAGAATCAAGTACAAGTGGTAAGTATATAAACAGAATAATAATGCTACCAAATTATGAAGCATGCATAAATAAAACTCAAAAGTTATAAAAGAAGACAGCAGTATTTCAGTGACAGTTTCATGGTATCTCTGCTCCTTCCTTTTAATGAAGTCATTCAGAGTACGCATGAAAAAGAAAGCCTCAGAAGACAAGTTAAACTGTGCCCCGGCATTATTACCCCAGTCTATGCTACAGTGCCCCTGGAAGCCCCGCTTTGCAAAGGCACCCCCAGGTGTTTACTTCCACTGTATATCCCAAATTTAATCATGCTGGATTCTGAGTACAGGTGTTCCTTGATTTTCAACAGGATTACATCCTGATTCATTGTAAGTTGGAAATATCATAAGTGAAAATGCATTTAATACACATAGCTACTGAACATTCTGGCTTAGCACCAGATGTCCTGAGTGTGCCACTTCCCCCCACCAAGGGTCAGGATGAGCTATCACACAGTGAGTCCAGAAAAAGGTCAAGATTCAAATGTTGATATGTGGCTTCTACTGAATACCGATTGCCTTCACACCACAATAAAGTCAAAAAATGGTAAATTGAACCATCACAAGATGGGACTGTCTGTATATGAGATTTGGCACTCCTAATCCCCAAGTATTGGTCTCCCTAATTTTCCAGAGCAGACAATATGCACCAGCTAGAAAATCTGTGAAGAATATAATACAGAGTGATTTCAGCAAGCTGGTAGAATATGGGTTTCTCAGGCTCATCTTGTCACAGAAATATCAATTTGACAACTCTTCAACATGAAAATAGTTTTACAAACACTGAGGTGAGAATTTATAGCACTTGTGTGGTGCACAGAAATAATAAAAGACACATGAAAGAGGGCAGGAAGGATATCACCTATGTTATCCCCTCCCATAAGCCGGCAGAAAATGGGTAGAAATGTTTTCTGTGTGGGAAGAAGAACGCTTTGCTACATACTCCAGCACCAGGATCACACCAGGGATTCCACTGCCAGGCAGCACTTGAGGAACAACCACCAGGCTGGCACCTGCAGACCTAGGCGCCACATCCACCCTGGTCCCAGGTAGGCCCCTTACGTTCCACATTAGCCGCATCAAGGAGCCGGCACCCACTGCCCGAGTCTCAAGCCTCAGATCCACCCAGTACCAAGCCAACCCCCAAAGACTGGGTCTTCATTCCTGCCCCAGGGTCTGACCGCCTTCCAGTGCCCTCCCAGTGTCTCTGCACTGCCCCTGCAGCAGTCCCGCCTGTGCAAATACAGGATCCAGGCTGCCCCAAGCGCCAGACTGGGGCGGTCAGTCCGTACAGTGCAGGGGTAGAGCCTCACTCTCATGTCCAGTCAGCAGCCATTATTACCTCAAGTTCTAGTCAGTGGTGACAAACCTGTGGCAGGTGTGTTATTTGTTTCTCTTTCAATATGAAAGATGATAATGTATGAGTGATTTTTCTAAACTGAAACCTCAATGTTGAGGTTTAATTGCAGTGTTGACACTTTGTGATAAGTAAGAGGGTTTTGGGCTGCAACAAATTCACAAATCCAGAGCCCAGGTCTACTCAGTCCTGCATCAATTCTTAAGGCCCAGATTTCAGTTTCAGGCCCATGACTATAGTAATTACCAG